TCTATGAATAAAATCAACATAACTTTTTCTTTTCTCTTGGCCATGTCATCTTTAAGAAAGATTGCAACTATTACGAACTCTAGAGATGAGGCAGATCCAAACCTGAAATTTACTGCTGTTCTCAACTGGGGCCAAATCAGCATGATCTTGTGCGCGCATTCCTCAATTTAGAACCAGTGAACTTACTAGAAAAACGAAGAATCACTTTTGCCGAGATTCTAGACTGCTCTCAGATATGTTATATCTGCTAATAGAAGTTAATTAAGAATACATTGATTTGAAACCTTCCAATAGAGGGACCACCTTTGTCGACACTCCAGCTTGCCGCTTTGAAATGGCTTGACAAATATCCTGTTGAAAAGAGATTATAACTTTTATAAGATTTTCACTTGGGATGAATGGTGCTCACACATTAGATTACTAGACTCACAAAATGTGTAGCCTATTCTATTGTTTTTCCTGACATTTATTAGAATTCAAATAAGGCATTTTTCCACATAACCCACAAGCAATAATACTTCGTTAAGCAGAGGAGAAAGATCTCAGCATGAAAAAGAAATTGCTTCTATGTTACACTTTTGTTAACTATTTCTTCTGATGATTCCTAGCTTTCTACATAAAATTTATAAAGTTTGATTTTAAAGCACACAGATATTCTATTTACACCTCTGCAAAATGGAAAAAAACCTCAAATGACAGGATTAAACCATCCGGTTTAGATGATTTTCAAATGGGATTATCAGGAGCAACTTTAGTATTAATCTGTTTCTCTTGTTGACGAGATTGTCAAACCTTCTTAACAGCTAATAGAGATTCAATGGGATTTGCTGTGTCAGAGGAACTAAAACGGAGACAAGCAATTTGATCGAACGATCACCTCTATGTTGTAGTGGGACGAGAAATGAGTTAATAGGACAGCCTTGCTGCCGGATCCACTGTGCATGTTCCATGATCTGCAATTTGCACATACAATAAAGTTAAAACACACCAAAGGTGGTGCAGAATTAGAATGGCAGAATCAATGGTACACACACCTCAAATATGTGACTGTGACCATGCTCTCGTGCATGCTTGATGCTATACCCTTCATCAAGGAAAGTTGCCCGCTAAAAACAGCTCAAACATCATGAGAAAACAGCAGATTCTGAAGGCCGTAATGTATTGAATATTAATTCAAGGAATAGGATGAAAGAGGAAACAGAAAGCAAACACTACACATAACAAGTTTATTATGATATCAATGCAACATACAGGCCATTGTCTGCCCAAATGTGACTAGGCATCCTCTTCTGTAATAGCTATGACTTCAAGAACACCAAAAGCTAGGGATTGAAGACTTGTACATCTATGCTGGGAACTTTTTTCCAACTTTTCCTATTCTCAAATTTTAAGGAGACATTTAGGTAGGCTAAGTGCAGATTATGTTTTACATTTGTAACTCTTATCAAGACAGTTGTTTCTTATACATGATGAAATGAACAAAAAATTTCATCTATTGGACTAATACAAGTAATTGTGCATGGATGTATAAGACATTTCACACTTACATTCACCTATGTTATACTAGAAGGGTGCACAAAGTTAAGTCATTTTTGCCT